AGAGAGAGAGAGAGAAAGAGAGAGAGAGAGAGAGAGAGAGAAAGAAAGAAAGAAAGAAGGAAGGAAGGAAGGAAGGAAGGAAGGAAGGAAAGAAAGAAAGAAAGAAAGAAAGAAAGAAAGAAAGAAAGAAAGAAAGAAAGAAAGAAAGAAAGAAAGAATACAATTCTTTTTTTGCCAAGTGTGATTGGACACCCAAGGAATTTGTCTTGGTGCAGATGCTCTCAGTGTACACAGAAGAAAAGTTACATCTATTCTATTCTATCGATTCTATTCCATCTATTCTATTCTATATGGGAATCTATGGGAAGTCTCCATCATACAAGTCATGGTTGTCCAAAAGGTGCTTTTCCCAAAAACTTTCCTGTTTGTTTGTTTTTTTTGTTTCCTTGAAGAGGTTTCGCTTCCCATCCAAGAGGCTTCCTTCAGTTCTGAAGTAACGTAATTGTATATTCTGGAGAACTGTAGAAGCTTCTCATATGGGAAGTGAAACCTTTTCAAGAAAAAAATAAATAAATAGGAAAGCCCAATTGGCTTTTGCAAAAAGCACCTCGGGGAGAAGATGGCTAAAACCGCAACGCACAAAATGCAGAAATAACCCCCCACCTTCGCCCACTTACCCTGGCCATGGGCATCTTGTTGGCTTCCACGTAGAAGTGAGGACTCCTCACCTCATACAACGCCCCATAATCCAGCTCCTGTCAAAGAGATTTGTGACTAAAAACCTGGCCTCATTTTTTCCATCTTAGCAACTTCAAGGAGAGTGGACTTCAACTCCCAGAATTCCCCAGCCAGCACAGCTGGCTGTGGAATTCTGGGAGTTGAAGTCCACACCTCTTAAAGTGACACACCTCTTAAAGTGACACACCTCTTAAAGTGACCACACCTCTTAAAAGTTGAGAAACTCTAGTCCACTTCATTTCTAAGGAACCCAACATGGAAGAAGACTCTCCCAAAATCCCCAAAATCCTTGTATGACCTTCTTTGTACTGAGTTTTGACTACTGCATCAAGTAAAAAACAAAAAATTAGATCCTATTAACTCTCACACCTTTCCCTTCCCCGACCTATTCTCAGCTATGTGTTGTTGTGCCTATTCTACTGCTATTTCTACGAACACCTCTGTTAGGCAGAGCGATTTAGTTTCTTAAAAGGAGAAAGAGGCAGATCTGAGGGATGGAAGTCGGTTTAGATAGCCCCTTCCCACTTTAGGGTTTTAGGGCTAATCAGAAATAAAAAACACCCCAGGCAGGTAGTCCAGCCTCCTGCTAATTCCCCACTCGCCTCATATTTCATCTTTATTCCAGCAGAAATAAATTGAATGCTTGATTTGGGGTAAAATCAGAGAGGATTGGGCCTTCCTTCCTTCCTTCCTTCTCGTCTTTCTTTCTTTCTCTCTCCTTCTTTCCTTCCCTTTCTTCTCTTCGCCTTATTTCCCCCCTCCCTTCCCTCCTCATTCATCCATCTTCTTGATGGCTTCCTTCCTTCCTTCCTTCCTCCCTTCCTTCTCATCTTTCTTTCTTTCTTTCTTTCTTTCTTTCTCTTTCTTTCTTTCTTTCTTTCTTTCTTTCTTTCTCTTTTCCCTTCTCTTTTTCATCTTTTTCTTTCTTTCCTTTTTCTTTCCTTTTTTCTTTTCCTTCTTTCCTTCCTTCCTTCCCTTTCTTCATTTTTCTATGCCTTATTTCCTCCCTCCCTCCCTTCCCTCCTCATTCCTCCATCTTCTTGATGGCTTCCTTCCTTCCTTCCTTCTCATCTTTCTTCCTATCTTTCTTTCTCTCTCCTTCTTTCCTTCCCTTTCTTCTCTTCTCTATACCTTATTTTGTTCCTTCCTCCCCTCCTCATTCATCCATCTTCGCAATGCCTTCCTTCC